CCCTACACGACGCTCTTCCGATCTCCCCAAAACCCCAAAACCCCACTGTACAGTATAAAGTAAATTTCGTTGAAGTACTAATAAATAGGGCAATGATTTTCAAAATTATAGTATATTACTTTAATAAATTTCAAAATGTTCTTCGGCAGCGGTGGCTTCCCATTCGGTGGAGGTTTTGATCAAGGTAACTATTGACAATTAGCGATGGGGGTTTTGATCAATATTCATAGAGGATTTCATGGGTGCTCATGGACGTGGTGGTGCCAAAGAAAAGAAGGAAATAGATAACAATAAATACTATAACTTACTGAACTGCAAAAAAGACGCTACTCAAGATGAAGTAAAGAAAAATTTCAGGAAAATTGCTCTTAAGGAGCATCCAGATAAGGGAGGTGATCCAGAGAAAGTAAACATACATTAGTTATAATAAACTCTAATAGTTCAAGGATATCGCTGTAGCATATGAAGTGCTTTCAGATCCAAAAAAGAGAGATTTGTATGACAAGTACGGCGAAGAAGGCTTACGTGATGGCCCATAGGCTTCAGGTTTTGGAGATATCTTTGACTTATTCGGCATGGGAGGAGGTGCTAGAAGAGAATAGAAAAGATAAGTTGAGCCCATTGGCTAAGTAGTCGAGGTTACTCTTGAAGATATTTATAATGGAAAGGAATTAGAGATTAAAGTTGAAAGAAGCAGGACTTGCGCTAAGTGCAATGGAGTAGGTGGTTCAGACGCTACAGCTGTTAAAACTTGTTCTGGTTGCAAAGGTAGAGGAGCAAGGACAGTGATGATGCAACTCGGACCTGGAATGTACTCACAACGAACAGGACCATGCGATGAATGTGAAGGCAAGGGAAGTACAATGGACCCAACTAAGATCTGCAAAACTTGCAGTGGTAAGAAAATTAAAAAGGAACAGAAAGTACTGAAGGTCGAAATTGATAAGGGATCACCAAATGGAGAGAAATACGTAATTCATGGCGAAGGTCACGAAGTTCCAGACATCGAGGCAGGTGACGTTATTGTTCAAATAAAGGAAAAGAAGCACAAGACTTTCCAGAGAAAGGGAGCAGACTTGTTTATGGAGAAAGAAATTACTTTGATTGAGTCACTGACTGGATTAGACTTTATCCTAGTCCATCTTGATGGCAGAAAGATCCGCATTCATAATAAACCAGGTGAAGTCATTAAGCCAGACTCACTCTTCACTGTTGAAAATGCAGGTATGCCTTTCCACAAGAAGGTCTATCAATTCGGTAACTTGATCATTCAGTTCAAGATCAAGTTCCCCAGCACCGTTGATGCCAAGACTATGTAACTACTTTCTGAAGCTCTCGGTACTGAATCAGGAGCAGTCAAAGGAGGTAAGAAAACTGGCAAAAAGGAAGAGACTAAGGATGAAAGTGTAGCTGAGACTTGCGTGTTATAACAATTTGTCGAAGGTCATAGAAATACACATCATCAAGGTGGCACACAAGGTAATGACTCAGAAGAAGAGGAAGAAGATGGACACGGCCACGGTGGTCAAAGAGTTGGATGCCAAGCTCAATGAAAGTATCAGGAATGTAGTGTCTGGGTATTGATACATGCTTGTTAAATTTATCTATTATCGCATCTTTCGGTAATTAAATCTATATTGACTATTCATTCAATTTTGTCCAATTTATTCCTCTTGGGGTTTTGGGGTTTTGGGGTTTTGGGGTTTTGGGG